TCTCTCTCGTCTCTCTCTCTCTCTCTCTCTCTCTCTCTCTCTCTCTCTCTCTCTCTCTCTCTCTCTCTCTCTCTCTCTCTCTCTCTCTCTTATTTTCCATCGTTACACGTGTCGTTCGCGTGTCGTCAGCGTTCAGGCTTGCGATTATTGACACTTCGTCGCGCGTTTTTCCAGCGGCGCGTCATAAAACTGCATTCTCCCCCTTCCCCTCCTCCGTCCCCCGAGTGGAGACATTTGATGCAACACGCGCGAGCGCCCGACCAGGTCGGGCTGAAAAAAGACTACTTGCATCGTCGTTTCTCCGCAGAGTTTTATATATATTCCCCGATGATCTCATCCTTCTTTCCGGCGCGAAAATGGTCAATGGCACCGGAGAACGCTATCGGGAGGAGGCGAGGGAGAGGGAGGAGGATTCCGATGAAGGATTCCTATCGTCGAAGGTCTAATAATAAATGACGCGATCGTTAAAATCGGCTCAAGAGTCAAGCCGCTGTATCAGTTCACGTACATGTCGACGCTGATGAATATTGACAGATCGATCGTGAGATACGGACAGATCCTTCGTTCTTCTCTTCTTAGTTAGTTTAGCGGCGATGACAATGCAGAAGGAGGAATTCACGGATATCGTTGCCGTTGAATAATAGCATTGTCGAATCGATCGTATGCGTACGACGGAAATTGGCAGGTAATCGTCGACAGATAAATACAGGAAACTTATCAATTACACGTGATCGAAAGCATGCTCATTTTACGTAACTTTGATAAAAGATTTAATTAATTTGCTTAGATAAAAGAAACTCAGAATTGCAATGGTAGGAATTAATTGACGATTTTTTTTTTCACCGAATTTTTGTAAAATTTTCGATAATAACTTTTGTCGTTAAAAATGAATTGGTTTGAAATCACTCTTCACATCTTGGCTGATTCATGTTCTAGGAATAAAAGCTTTGTGATCAATTATTATTATGTAACGTCAACGATCGTTCTTACAATAATCACTAACTTTTATTGCATTAATCGGAATCGCTTTAAGGAAACAGTTAAGAAAGATTATAACTGTTTATGCTGAATTCAATTTCATTGATGTGGCTTCAGCTGAATCTTAAGATAAACAATTCTCTTTGTAACTTTTGTAAACAGTACTCCGAAAATTACTTGATCTGTCTAACTTTTATGAATTTTGAGAGAAAATATCGTGCATAAATGTACGTAAATGTAACCGAACAATTCTTTTAATATAATTTAGAAAAATCCAGTCTAGGCTGCGGAATCGCTGTTTGAAATCGCAGAAAACTATTACATCATGATATTAATGATTAATAATTTATCTAACACAAGCGCGATCAACACAGACTCGCTTCTTTATTGATAGAATTCACGTCGAGGCATCTTCGCAAAAGCGATTGACATCAATCTTATCGCTAATTCTATTTGCACTCCGGTTATTGCAACGATCGATACTCGATTGCATAACATCACGGTATAACGTTACTGTTTAACTCTCTCAAGAGTGACGGTAATGTGTCTTTCGGTCAATGATGTTTTTGTTTCCCATTGTGATCTTAATTACAATCTCATATTCAGCAGGCCGTAAAGCCGAAATTGGCGTCATCGATGGTTTAGCGACACTGACATATGTGACGTAACATTCATGAGTAACACGTTTCTAATATGTTTTGTAAATTCCGTGAATCAGTCATCGTCTCGAAGTCACTCCGGTGAACACCAATTATCAACAATGCTGCCATTGTCTCCTCATTCTTCCTCAAAAACAAAGCCGAAGGAGAGACAGAAGAGAGGAATTGCTCGAAACCCATCATTTAACATCAACTGACGTTTCTGCGAACGGCTCTTAAAACGATCCAGCGGGAGGTGGAATTACGTTTCGAGTTACATGTCTATCGCAATGACACGGTACATGCAACCGCTCATGCGATATGTAATACACGAGCCACCGATGGCCTCCGCGGCTTTAACGTTCGATCATTAAAAATTCAATATTTGTCGACGTCACGTCGCGTCGCGGCCGCGGCCGCGGCCGCGGCCGCGTGTCGCGTCGTTTCGTTGCCAGTTTCTCGCCGTTACGAATTCTCGCTGCCGTTGATTGATTGCCGGTTGTCAGTCGACCAACGTTTTCCTCTTGTCGGTCGTCATGCGCCGTTTTATACCTGTCTGCTCATCCGTCGTCTTGGACGTTATCGTTTCGCAGGAATTTACAGCATTCCTCGACCGAAAGAAATATATCATATACTGCGTTTCTTCCGAAACGCGCGGATAAAATTACACGATTGATATGAATCTTTCCCAGAGGGAAATTGTATTGAAATATGTCGCTTACATTTTATTGAAATATGTCGTTTGATATATTATTAAAATATTGAAATAATGCTATTATTGAAATATGTCGCTTACATTATCTCGACAATAAAGTCTGCTTTACGATTTTTGTCTATGTAAAATTGTTTATTTTTTCGCAGGAAGAAGGGAAACATTTTCCTCGGACAGATAAAAAATTTTCAGGCTTCGAATCCTGAAGTAATATTTTCGCAATAATAATTTCTCGTGGGAAGAAGAAATTGATATCATTTCATTATCGATTTGTTAAAGAGAAAAACACGTAGCTTTGGACAGCTAGATTTCAAGCTAATTGAGAATAACATGTAATTGGCGACATGAGTAATTATCATAAATATATTAAATTCAAAAATAGAAAGATTATTAGACGCCGATAATTATCTTGCCTTATCGAGTCTCGCCGCTATTCTACTCTCGCGTTTGACAGTATTATTATCTAAGATTAAGAATCATCATCATTGTCTATTCTATCACAGTGCGATAATTTATTAAAAGATTAGAAAGAAAGCTGCGCTAAAAAATATGGAAATTCACTTCAACGATAGTTATAATTACATATCTTTATTTTTAACCGTAATTATGCAGATTAGATGATATTAATTATATAATTTCGAGGCGGCCTTTCTCACGGAAATACTCAATTTTGCCTTACGTCAGACGCACTATTCAGGCTGAAGAAACGACGAGGGAACAAAGTATCGAAGCCACGACACTTTGCCCTCAAACAATTGACTTTTCCGCGACTGATGAAAAAGTTTTCCAATTCCGCGTGACTGACGTATTGCCATGACCGACGTAATAGTCAGACAGAGCCAGGAAGACGATCGATCGTACACTTCCACGAGCCGTGACGTCGTCGCGCTGCATCGGATTACGTTGTTGGCTTTTATAAGCGAGCGTGTAGAGTCTCTCCGACGCAACGACGCGACGTAGGACGACGAGCATATAATTTGATTTGTCGCCAAGAACCATCAGAGAGTGACAATCCCGGCGTGTCCATCTGTCTATTTCGCGCGGCAGGTAGACTTCCACGTCCAGGGAGCTGCTAATCTTGTTAGCGCAACTCTGTTACGGCGTCCGATATTAGTATTCGACACGACGTGATCACTTTGGTATTTTTCTTTTCCTACTACACGCCCACGCAAGGTTGGACAAGATCGACGGGAAAATGCATCTCCTTCGTAAAACGTGAAGGTTTCAGAAGCGTCTTAAAGATAGTCCGTTTATCTTCGTACAACCGCCTGAATAGTTTCGTTATTTTCATGACTTTAATGAAATCTATTTTTTTATAAAACTACTTTCTTATACTTTGTATAAGATATGCTCTTTTGCATCTCTAAACGAATAACGCCAACGCAAAAAATAATATATATATATATACGATGTCTTTTTAAGAAATATTATCATTCTAATTATCTAAGTATTGAAAACTGTGCAGTTATCGCGAAAGCACAGTGAAATTTAATATATGTATGTAAATCTATCCATCTATCGATAACGATGGATTTTCTATTTCTTAAACTATTTTATTTTGTTGCGTTCGTGTTAAAACGATAATAATTTTCGAATTTTGTTATTATTCTTAACGATCATGTAATTTTATAAAACCTCGCATATTATGCGATATTACGTAGTTTTTTTTCTCCTATCACAATACACGTAACATTTTTTCGTTCGCTCTTGTTATCGCTGTTTTCGACCTTTGATTCGGAATAGGTAGAAATCTCAGAAACCGGTTCTATGACTCGTTTTTCACTACATTTCACATCTTGCGTGCTCCGAATACCTCCGGATCGTACGATCCGATCGACAAGAGCGTGCACGAATCATCCTCTTCCGTTTTACTATTGATTTTCCCTTGATGTAACGCGGATGTTTCAACTTGAAATAGATTAACTCTTTCAAGAACTCTTCGACGTAACGATACTGCGCCAATCTCGCTTCACGTTTCCAGCTATTTCAATTAAGAGGCAATCAAGAAGCGGACTCTTTCGAGAAATCCACTTTGATAATGCGGCATTGATCTGATTTTCAATCCCTCGCGTTGTATCTCCCAGTGGATACTTTAATTTAAAACAAAATTCAATATTCTTCCAAAAATTCCAAATATTTTAATATAACAATTTGATAGTAACTTGCCAAAAACTTGCACTTGACGCTTCCGTTATTCATTTCCACAATGTCGCATAAATTAAACGGTGTATTAAGCATCTCGGATTTACGAGACGGCTGATGAGTCGTCTCTGCCGTTCGGAAATGATATATAAATTTCGTTCCGGTACATGTTACGACCAATAATGGCTATTTTAGTATTTTCCACTTCACCACAATAGACGTCTGTGGTAACAACTGTGCAATTGTCCGAGAAGATCACGTCTCAAAAGAGTGCAATTAAGCGAGCAAGGCTTATTCAAAAGAAGGTACTTATATCACGTGCACATACCGTGTGCCGATTTGCTGATAAATTTTGAACAATATGCCGATATAATTGACCAATTATGTTGTGTCATCAGTAACTTGTGTGTCATTCACCTCCATACGCGAGAGAAAATGGAATCCATGTTCTTTTATCAATTTTTATGCAAAATTGTACATGAAAATGTTTAATCTAATTTCCAAGGACAGTTTAATCTAATTTCCAAGGACAGTTTCATCTATTAAAAAATTATTTTTTTTTCTAGTCAGAATGTCAAAGTATTATAAATTATAAATGATTAGAAATAAATCCTTTTTGGAAAATGAAACCAAAAAGATTTAAATTAATATAAAATAATTAAATAATAAATATATAAAATTTGAAAAATTGACAGTGAATGAAATTTTAAATTTGCGTAGATTTTATTATTCTTGGATTTTTAATTGGAGATTTAAACGATATTTAATAAATATTAAAAAGTCATGCTCTCATAATATTCAGCATCGTCAATTGTACCAAGTTTTTTTTTATTCCATATATATCTCTACATTTTTAATTTATTTTGGATATCATTAATCGTTCGTTTATCAAGTTTTACGATGGTTGGATGGTCTTTTATCGCGTCTGTTATGTAAGACGCTGCGCACGTTCTAGTACTACGGTTTGTTGATGAAGAGGATGTAAAAAAAGACTTTATCTAGGAAATCCTCACGATGACGTCGCTTTTTCGATAAACATAGTTATAAAATTATGAGTCAAACATTTACCTGCTAGTTACACATAACGAAAACGCAATGTGAAATACTGATATAAATGACGATTTCGAATCTGCAAGTTATTTATCAAAAATTTTCATCGGTCGCACTTAAAGCACCTGTATTAATTACATATTTTCATTACACTAGTAATATAACAAAAAATTATAATCCATTGAGCTTTCCGTTCGTTTGGTAATTATATTGAATTCTTTTTTCGCTCTTATTTTTGCAACTCAATGTGAGATTCCGTTACCTAATTATGCTGAATTTAAATGACACTCTATTTGCAGGTCTTGCATGACTGCGCGAAGGCGCGAAGAGAAGTGGAACTTCATTGGAGAGCGTCAAATTGTAGGCACATAGTCCAAGTCAAAGATGTATATGAAAATTCTTATAGTGGAAATAAATGTCTACTGGTAGTCATGGAATGGTATGTAAAAAAAAGCGTTACTTTTTAATAAACAATTCAACGTAATAGACTTTTTATTGTGACTGCAACGGCATTTATCACAAGCGTGAGCCTTCAAATTCATGTTTAACTTTTTTTGTTTCAGCATGGAAGGCGGAGAGCTGTTTCAAAGGATACAAGATAGGCAGGACGGTGCTTTTACCGAAAGAGGTACAGTTTTAACATTCGAAAAGTCTGTTTAAAATTTTCCTATTTTTAGAAATTACGTAAACTTACCGTACGTTTCTTTGCAGAGGCCGCGCAGGTGATGTACGAAATCTGCGTCGCGGTAAAGCATCTTCATGATATGAACATCACTCACAGGGATCTAAAACCTGAGAATCTTTTATATTCCAAACCTGGTAAGGGAATGTAAATGAAAATATTATATCATTTATTTTTTCATAAGGTGTGACAAATTAAAAATAATTATTAATCCACAACATTTTATGATTTTAATGATGAATTATATATTATCTACAGACCTTGAAGAGTCATAAATTTGTAAAGATTACGATAATTTTTATCTACACATCTTTATGTACACATCACAGTAACTAATTTCATAAAAATGTTACAACATTTACAATTTTATAGGAATGTTATAACGCATGAATCATGTATTCTTGTTCTTAATTTCGTGATGCTTTATTGTGTATAACAAAATGAAATAGATTATTATAATAGATAGTATGTTAGTATGTAATATAATTGTTAGTATATAAATAGAATAGTAAGATTAATGTAGGATACATTTATTTCTAGATAGTACTGGAATTTTAAAACTCACCGACTTTGGATTCGCTAAGGAAACACATTTAAAAGACACATTACAAACACCATGTTATACACCTTACTATGTCGGTAAGTTTTCGCGTTTTACCACGCGAATACAGATCCATATGATTAAATCTTAATAATATATATAATTGATTTTTATTATTTTTAGCCCCGGAAGTTCTGGGACCAGAAAAATATGACAAGAGCTGTGATATTTGGTCACTGGGAGTAATCATGTACATATTGTGAGTGTTGTTTCGTATTTGTTCAAAAGTTTTTTTACATCAATTTTTTCTGCAGTAATATAGCATTCTTAATTTTTTGATTTTCATTGTTTCGTTACTGAATTATAATTAAAGCTGTACACTAAGATATATTTATTGTTTATTATTGATTTCTTTATTATTATTATTATTATTCATTATTATTTCTAGATTGTGCGGCTTTCCACCATTCTATAGCAACCATGGACTAGCGATCTCCCCCGGTATGAAAAAGAGAATCCGATTAGGACAATACGACTTTCCTCATCCAGAATGGGCGAACGTAAGTCAGGAAGCTAAGACCCTTATCAAAGGCATGCTGTGTATAGATCCAGCAGAAAGGTTGCAGATTGATGCTGTAATGCGTAACAACTGGATCTTCGTAAGAATTCATTTTGCAATAAAATTCTAATCTTAATTTCAATTTTCTTTGTGATATTTTCTCCAAAATTCCTTATTTTTTCATAGAAATACATGGAGGTACCTGCTACTCCCTTGCACACTGGACGTGTTCTGCGTGAAGGGGAGGAAATGTGGCCTGAAGTACAAGAAGAAATGACGCGATCGCTAGCGACGATGCGCGTAGATTACGATACGGCGTGTCTGAAGCAGCTCGATCACACAAACAATCCCCTATTGAATAAAAGAAGACGCGCGAAACAATCCGCGAATACGACAGTCCCTACACCCACCAGCCCTACGCCCGCCTCCTAGGAAGAGGACACTAACAGAACCAGACGAAACTGGACTTGTTTCCTGCGAAGATGCGTCAGATACAGCGTGATCACAACAAGGATCGTTTTCTGACTGCTGCATTTCACAAAGCGAAAGAAATTCCGGAATAGAATAGTATCAAACGGCATCTAGATTACATGTGTCACATGCTTTACGCTTATGTTAACATCAGATTAATTAGATACAAGGCCGATTTTATTATAACAAAAACATGTGCAACGAGGACAATATTGCCCCAACGAAAGCAAGTAAGCGATGCCTTTTTAATTATTGAACCATATCTTTCTTTTAAATTACAAAATTAAAAATGTATACTGCTTTGTAAGAAATCTGCTACGTTAATTACAAAATTGAGCATGAAAGAACAAACATTGTTGATGCCAAGCATTAATGTTACATGTTTGTTATTAGCTCAATTTCCTCAAACTTAATAATTCATGTTTGAAAATAATGGCCTTTAGGGGCACTAAAAACGAAGGTTGATTAATAAATAATACTGCTAAATGTGTCTTTTGCCAAATCCTAAACATAAAAAAATCTACATAACGAAACGTAAGAAAAAAGAAAACTGTTTTCCTTGTTATTGTCGTTTAAAAAATATGAAATCATAACTTGTTATCTCGAAAATAGAGAAAGATATATTATACTTCCAAAAATCCATCATCCTTAACAATCGAGCCGATTTTAGAGTCAATACATAGTAAACTGGCTTTTGCCATCTTACATTGATTGAATTATACGAAATCAAATTACAAAGTTGTTGAGCGAATCATCCTTCTATACACATATATATTCTAAAATAGGCGTTGATAAGTGTTTTAATCGGGATTATTACATATAATCTCCATACAAATGGTGTAAAGACTATTTATCCACAGGCTATTAAAGCTAGTTGTAGGATTAGTTGCTCATATACTTACCATTTAAAAAACAAATTTGCTCGCTGCCATTGAATAATCAGGCCATGTTGATATTTATATCATTGAATTTAACACATAATTACGCTCTTTCATGTAACTCTCTGCCCGTCCAATCTGTTTTAAACATATTGAATGTTCATCATTGTTATTCGTATCAATTTAATGAGACTTTTATTCAATTTTTACTTGGTGTAATTAATTTAGGCATTAAGAATTGAATTATTGTGTTATATATAATATCTATTATATTTCTACATTTAATATATATGTTTAGTTATATTCATATATTTGCACTCTGTTTTAAACTAAATACAACGATATGCTTGAGGCTGAATATATTTAAGTGATTTGAATTTGCTTTTTATTTAAGTCACAAATGCTTTAAAGCATATTTTAATTAGAAGTGATCGAGTGCTATGATATAAGTATATAAGAAAAATATAAAAAAAAAAATAGCACATGGAAATTGTATATATATTTCTATTTAATTATTTGAGAATAATGTGTCTATAATTGCGTCAAAATATTATTAGATTCATAGAAATTAAATAGAATGTTAATCCATGTATTTTCAGTATATTAGGTGTATATGTATATATATGTGTATGTGTACCCCCCCCACACACACATTATAACACATATACATATATACCTAACGCGATATTCCATGAATTTACAAGATAATTAATGGTTGGTAAATCAAACAAAAAAATGATAAGAATTTCATGTGCCTATGATTTCACTCGAACAAAAATCATATTACAAACATATTCTAGAATATTAGAGAAATATATCATTAATATGCATATATCACAAAAAGAATAATTACTTAGTATTTTAAAAGATTATCATTTTCGGGATGCATCTAAAATAATTAGCTTACGTGAGAA